CTCTTTCGGGGCTCCGTACCTTAAGGGACTTCCTGAAGCCGCTGGAGTTTAGAATTCCAGGGCTTCGGGCGTTAGGGTTCAGGATTTGAGATGTCAGGGTTCGGAGTTTGCGGGTTTTGGAGCCAGGGCTTTAAGAGGCTTCGAGAGCTTCAAACATCTGCAGACCTTGTGGTCAGTTGTTGCTATCCGGCGGTCTTTGGCTGCTCTATAGTCCGCACTAAAAGGTGAGATCTTGAAAAGGGAACGAAGAAGGCCAAATGCGAGAGTCAGAGATTGGCTGGATTCTTGGTCACATGAGCACATCCAGAGCGGGACTAGCTGACTAGCTACGAGTGTCCTGTTGCTAGCCATCTTCTTCCACTCCTCCGGCATTTTGTCCGAACCTGAAGAGATAAACTCGTAAGTTGTTTGCCATCGCTGAACCACAGTCTCGGCACCTGCAGGGGGCACCGCAGCTTGCCCCGGTCGCTTGGCCGTCTGAGACCTCGCAGGTATTTGGCAACGGGGTTTCAGAGTTCAGGCTTTTGGTCTGGGCTCCTCTGTACATCACCGCTGTGTTTCTGTAGCTGAGGCAAGTTTGAAGCTGAGCTTGCCTGGATGTCAGGGCTTGGGCAGCCGGCATGGCAGCCGGCACCCGCCCTTGGCCATTCCTGCCGCTTGCGTGCCCGTTGGCCTGGCGGAAGCACCAGCCCGATCCGCGGAGCATGTCTTCGTTTCAACATAGCTCTGATCAAGACAGCCGTCGCGACTAAGCTCTTTCTGCTTCATCATCTGCTCCACGGTGATCAAAACTAGATAATGTGATAATCGTGGTGATGATGATGTACAGAGATATGATGATTCTGATAGGACGATGTGGGCACGGGTTCTATTACTCGCCGTTGATGACTAGACGACGAGCACGACGAGGACTACGACTTCTGACAGCTACTCTGCTACTCTGAGGACGACGACGACGCGATTACTGCTGCTGCTACTACTAATACCACCACGCCAAGCAAGTCACTGGCCTTCTGTACTCAAGGCTGACCATTGCACCATTGTGTGTGCAAACTCAACATGCTAAGCCCCCGTTTAACCTGTCAAGGCTCGTGCTACCATGAAAGTGCCTTGCACTTGGCGGAAAACCCACAGCGAAAAAGACCCAAGCCAACCTTGGCCTGGCCCCACTGGTTTGCCTGACGAAGGCAGGACTCAGCTGTGCTTTAGGCGTGCCTTCGCAGGCATCAGTGGCAGCAGACTGAATCAGACTCTGGTCAAGTCCTCACCTCCGCGGCATCCTAAGCTGATCCCGTTTGGCCGGACTGTCATAACAAGCGAAGAGCCGGTGGTCCCAAGATTGGCTTGATGCATGCAACTAGGTTTATGCACATGGACACTTCTCGTTGAAAACACTTGCCGTTTGAATTTGGCTTTGAGGGAAGCTGGATTAACTCGTGTATTTGTCAAGTTACGCTGCTGTGATACGTAACCCTGTGACTGAATCGTAAGCTCAGAAACCCCACGCCCCGACGAAATCCGCTTGTCAACTGGCCTTGTTGTTCCGTGGCTCCTTGGAACCTCGGTCCTTCCGTGCTGCGCGCTCCTTGGCCTCCACCGCTGCCAAGGCCTCCTTCGCTAATGAGCCTAGAAACATACAATATCACTGAAAAAAATGCTGTGCGCAAACGCAGGCCCAACAAGCTCCTCTGTTGTATAACCAGCACTGGTCATATTCAGTCCAGTCCGTACCATGGCTCGCATTTCTGCTCTTCTGCTGCTTTTGTTGTTGTGCTTCATCGTCCCCATTATTGTTGCCGCTGTGGATCGGCAGGAGCAGCAGCAGGAGCAGCAGCAGGCAGGAGCAGCAGGCAGGAGCGTCACGCAGGAGCAGCACAGTAGCAGTAGCAGGAGCAGTAGCAGCAGGAGTACTAGGAGTAGTCGTAGTAGGCGCAGTAGTAGTAGCTTTAGCAGAAGCCCAAGCAGTAGCAGTTGCAGAAGCAGCAGGAGTAGGAGTACGAGTACGAGTAGCAGTAGGAGAACGGATGGTAGTAGTAGTAGTAGTAGTAGTAGTAGTGGTAGTGGTAGTGGCAGCAGCAGCAGCAGCAGCAGCAGCCGTAGCAGTAGCAGTAGCAGTAGCAGTAGCAGTAGCAGTAGCAGTAGCAGTAGCAGTAGCAGTAGCAGTAGCAGCAATTAGTGCTAGTGCCGCCGCCCATGCTGCTGCTGCTGCTGCTGCTGCTGCTGCTGCTGCCGCCACGACTACAACTACAGCAACAACAGTAACAACAGCAGCAACAACAACAAAAACTCCTACTCCTACTACCTTCTGCTCTTGCTCCTGCTCCTACTCCTGCTACTCCTACTCCTACTCCCACTCGCACTCCCACCACTACTACTACTACTACTACTACTACTACTACTACGATTCTGGCTTACTCTCGTAAAAACTACTTCAGCTTCAGTAACATTATAACTACACTGGAAAGAGGCAGCAGCAGCCGCAGTCGCAGCTGTAGCAGATAGTCGTCGTCGCGGATGTTGCATAAGTTAGTGTAGGATGCGTCTGCTTGATACCCAGCTCGGAAGCATCAGGCGGTGATGCTGCTTCAATTTCAAGTGAAAGCAGCAGGTGTGCGCATAACGTGAAATCCCCAAACTCTGCATACCCGCCTTCAAGAAAACCAATCGCCAAGCCCTGAATCCCTCAACCCGAGAGCCCCCCGAGCTCCTCCTTGTCCCAATCCTCAGGGGGCTCGCAAGGCTCGATGTTGACGACAAGGAGGGAGCCCCAGTTCTCTCCTGGGCTTTGCAGAACGGTTTAGAGTTTAGGGTTTAGGGATTTAGGGTTTAGGGGTTTAGGGGTTTAGGGGTTTAGGGGTTTAGGGGCTTAGGGGTTTAGGGGTTTAGGGTTTAGCTTTCCTGGCTTGCCGAATACTGCACTCTGATTCTTGTTACTGGCACGACCATTCTCATCATTGGGCCATTTGTGCCAGCATGGCTAAGACGGCTAGCACTACGATACCTGGCTGTCAGTTTACAGTTCGATAATCCTGTCTGTCATCTGGTATACACCACTGTTCTCATAATTATCAATGCCGTCATTGGCATGTCATAGCTGTCAAGTAGTAGCTCGTCTTCTTTTGCGTGTTATGATGATTATAGCTACAACGACTACCGATGACTACTTGGTACGACGTCTTATACTCGACAAGAATGGCCGCTCTGCGTTGAGAAACCGGGCACGCATTGCCAGAAGCTCCGCCTCAAACCTACCTTCCTTCCTTTCGGATGCAATTAACACCCTCAAAACCTGAATTCTGGCAGACTGCGCAAAAAGCCACGAACAAAATGGCCTGAACCTTGCGGTTCGGGGCTCAGGCTCACCATGCCTTCAGCCCTAGATCATTAGACTTGCGTCCTGCCAGCGACACTGCAACATTTCTGCTTACAGTCAAATTCTCGTTGATCATCCTGACTGGTAGCACTAAGAGTAGTGCTACGACGGTCCGGTATGTTCTTCATGTTGAAACCACGACAACTCAGCTTCGAGTGATCTCAGCGGCTGAGCCAAGATTCCTGGCCACTCGTCCAGGAGGTCGAAGCTGATCCAGCCTTTTTACAGTTTTGGCGCTGTAGAGCGCCGGGCTTGGAAGCAGAAGTCTGGCCGAGTCTGGGCTCGGAACTCAAGGGGTTGAGAGCTTCCCCGTTTCGAGTACCAGAAGGCCGGGGCCTAAGGCTTGAGGAGGATTCCAAGCACCAGCCCTTCTCCGATAGGCAAAGCCCTGCATCCCCACCACAGCTTTCTTCCAGGCGCTTCACAAGTCAAAAGGATCAGATCACGACGACCGAGAAACGGCAACACTGAACCTTCGAAAGTGAGTGCTGTTTCACAACCTTGCAGGGCTAGCGCAGAGAATGGGAATCATTACATAGCTAGATAATCTAGATAAATCTATTTTTAGAGAGCCCTAATCATTATGCAACCTACGATTGGACATTGGATAAGGATGCTAAAGAACATAGTATAACACTTGGCACTGGCACTAGCTGCCACGAGCTCTTCTTGAGACTTCTGTTCAAGAGTTTGGGATCTGTCCTGTAGTTGGACCTCTCGAGGACACTTGTCTAGTCAACAGTGCTTGTACAGCAGCCACCCTTCAAAACCACAGCATCCAAGAGACCCACTACTCGCTACTCCTCCCAAGCTGCATAACATCGGTGCGACTCCTTTAATCAAAGAACTGAAAAGCAGAAGCACACACATAGAAAGCATAGGAGTAACCCCCCCAACTCCCAACCCCCAACCCCTAAATCCTAAACCGCTCGAAGTCCAAACCTCGGAAGCGAAACCCACTGTTTAACGGCCCGGGATTACTAGACTCCCACTAGGGCCCGCGCTCCCCAGCTCGAGGCCAGCGGGTGCTTTGCCTCGGCGACCACACAAGGCCAGGCTGAGGGGCTTAATTAGGTTTGAAGGCTTCGGTTTTGTGGTTTTGTGGTTTAGTGTTTTGTCAAGTGGCTTCAAGGGGATAAGGTTCAAGATGCTGTGGTTGAGAGCTTTGGGATTTGCAGAACTTTTGGAAACTCGACCACTCGGCTTCGCGTGCCCTTGTACTCATACCGGCACAACGTGTCCCAAAACACTATTGCAACTGTCTTGGCTACCAGGTGGTTGGAGGTTGCACCGGTTTTCGGAGATTTCTGATGTTCAGCATCGTAATCGCATCGAAAGTTGCAGCGACTTCTGTGGCCTTGCATTGTCCTGGGCAGGTGCCTGCAGCTGGACTCCCTTATCATCAGTGTCCACGCTCCGACTTCTTATCCCAGATACCATATCCATTCTAATCAACTGCCAAGAACTCTAATAATCTAGAGTGTTCAAAGTCCCTGAAGAGCACCGAAATATCTATGAAACACGCCCGGTAAAGCCCTCACACGACAAACCCACACAAAATCCAGTAAACCCCCGAGTCAGAGTAGCCCCTGCCCCTGTTTACTCCGCTTTTGTCTCGGCCATGCGCTCTTGCGCGTGATCTTCGGGTTTCGGTCCGCGAACCTGAGAAAGCCCACGGGACGGGAAGGGCCTTCAAGGCTTCATTGATTTTAGACCAGTCTCTATGAATGCATGCCTGCATGCCTGCATGCATACACACATAGCGAAGGACTGTCACCATCAAAGGGATATAGTGTCAAATCCTGCTACATGTGCCCACGAAATGCTATGGCAGGGGGAACGAACAACAGCAGCACAGAGTAGAAACTGACAGCAAACCATACCCACACATTGCAGGAGACTGTTATTCTCTGGGCACAAGGCAGTTTGAGACTTAGGCCTAATTCTCGAAAACAACTCGATCTTGCCTCTGACACCCTCCTAAGCTGAAGAGAGCCCTCTCGGGTCTTCCGGCTGAAGCATTGGCCGTGCCCTGAACATGTCCCGATGCGAAGTGCGACATCTCGATCCACCATGCATAATGCTGAATCTGGATCAGGAGTTTAGAGCAGTATCACATTATTCCTCCCTGCCGGTCCTAATGTCCCTTTGAAACACAGCGTAGCCTAAAAACCCCCCAATTCATCGCCCTGTCTTGTCCCAAACTCCTGACAGTCAGTCTACACCACTGCAGACAAGTGTGCAACAAGTCGAACAGGCAACGAGGTTAGCCCAAGGACTCCACTACCACCACCAACAACCACTCCTGAAACCTGTCGATGTCCCGTTCCACTCAATCCTCACATTGCTACCGCCTGCGAGTATGAGAACCACTATAGTCCTTCAACCGGGGTCCAAATTGGTTGCTTCCAGGAGCTAGTGCAGACCATTCCAAAACCATTCCAAAACCACCGCATTCGTTACAGGAGTCGGCCTGTTGTCGCAACAGAGACCATAAGAACTCCAGATAAGGCAGGGCTGCAACCCCGGACCCCACATACGTTGAAGTCTCCCTCGAGATCCCAAACATCCCCAGACCCAAGCCTTGCCTTCAAACCCTAAACATTGAACACTTCGCCTAACCAAAAACTTTATGGACACGAAAACTTAAAGACACACAGACACACACACACACAAACAAACAAACAAACAATACCCCGCGGGGAGGCAGCTACAGGAATCGGGCTGCCGTTGTGTCAGAGGAACGATAGACAGGGGCTCCTTTTGTCGTCACGGGGGCTGCCAGGGACTGGCATGGCGAGACCCCAAGGCCTGAAGAGGTCTCTGGACCATCCCAGCCCCTAGGTCCCTTTCCTTTACTCTTTGGAGGCAACCATCCAAGGCCCCTCGCAAACTGAGCAAAACCGAACCCCGATCCGGGGCTCCCGGCTCCGGGGGCACCTGTTCGCAGGTCACCTTCGTGGCACACAAAAGGCATGAGATCCTTTCAGGTCTCGGCTTCGGGACGCAGTGGGCGGTGCTTACTTCCCCAGAGGGCCGGGCCCACATCCGATCATCCTTCACGCTCGAGATGAAGCCCCAATACCTGGCGGGAAAAGAAGAAGAATCCACGGTTTGCAGCCTGGGCTTAGGATTTCGGGCTTAGGGCTCCTCTTGCAGGAGTTGCTGCTGCACTGCGAGGTTGCGTTGCTGACAAGACGGAGGCTGGATGGCCATCAAAACCTGCATGACCTCCCGAACTTCTCGATGCAAGCTGGAGGCAGTTGAACAGAGGCTTGATTCTAAGAGACTTACTTCTTTCTTCTTCTTCTTCTACCAACCGCCTGCCCCTAACCCAACTCCAAATCTAAGTAACTCCTACTCCTGCTCCTTCTGCTGCTCATAGTACTCCTCCTCCTCCACTAACCATCCTACTCTCTCCTTCTCGGCCTACTCAGTCCTACTTCTCCTGCTCCTCCCACTCTCCTACTGCTCCTCCTAGTCCACCTCCTCCTCCGCTAAGGGTTAGTATAATGGGTATAAGAGGGATCCTATAAGGGGTCCTCCTAGTCCACAGCCCAAACCCTTCTGCTGCTCCGACTCTTGCTCCTGTTCATGCCCATCTGGCATTCCCCGGCCTCTCATCCTCGTTTGCCTCACAGGCGCATGACATGCTTGCAGGAAGATTCAGGAACTGAAGGATTCAAAAGGCAGCGATTTTGGAGATTTCGGTCGAGGTCCCGAAAAAAGGCCTGAAGCAAAGAGTGGACGTGAAGAGCCTGAGCTCAGCTGGGCACTATCACCCGATTCAGGTAGCCGAAGCTGCTTCGTGAGGTCTGAAGTTGCCCGTGCCCCGTCTCCCTTCACGATTCTCGTAGCAGCATTACCTTGAAAGTCTGCTGCGGTGAAAGAAAGCCTGCCAAAAGATCCCGGCCTCACCGTCCTCCGAGGCGTTCTGCTCCACATCCAGCTCGGCATCCTCCTCAGCATTCTCCTCGGCGTCCTCGGCGTCCTCCTGGAATTCGTCGACTTCTTCATACCGCCTCTTCGCCATGGAGCTGCGGAGGATCCAACATGCGCGCCAACCTACACAGTCGGCAGGTGCGAGGCTTGAGCCCAGGTGCCGGCACGTAGACAACGTAGCGAACAGCACAGCACTGGTTACAACGGTCTGCGCCGGCAAAGAAGACATTGACTCTGTCCGAGCCACTATAGGCTGTCAAGGCCTCGTCCTTCGACTTGGCGAGGGCTTCTCGCGTCTCCTTCCGTTCATGCAAGGAGTTGAGTCCTTTCTGGCGAACAATCCGTGTGCACTTCTGACTGCGGACTGTGCGTCCTCCGTTAAAAATGACGAGACGAGGCTGAAACGGCAACGTTGTTGCTGTGCTTAAGCCAGCAAACCGCATGATGGCAGGCCCGGTATAATGTGGTAGACTATTGGATTTCCCTGTTTACATGCTACCAGGCTACCAAGAAATTCCTTCGGAATCAGGCAAGCAGACCCTCAACCAAGCAAGCTGCAAGGCGAGGTCCATCGGCGAGTGATGGAAGAGGGTCCACAATGGTTCACTCAGCTGGACTCAGCATGTCGACGTAACACAATGGTTTGGGATGTAAACTTTCGGGCTTGGGTTTATGCACTTCACCTACTCAGAGCCTCTGTAGAGTCCTTCACAGCAGCTTCTTGATAGGCCCTCAAAACTCGGAAACTGCTTTCGTTGTTCGCCCGCTTCAGGACCAAAGCTATCTGTTCACGGAGTGCCCTTCAGGGTTTAGGGTTCAGGGTTAGGTAGTTTAGGGCCCCTGAGCCCCTTGTACTTCAAGCTTCCGGCCCATGCCCCGACACATTTTACAGAGCCCCTCGAGCAAGCAAGCTTGAGTGAGGGTTTTGGTTTTGGGTTTGGGTCTAGGGTTTATGTAGGGTATCGCTTTAACGGCTCAGGGCTTGCCCACTGACTGGGACCTCTTCTAGGGACGAATATTCTGACAAGCTTGCAACGAGTAGCTGAAGGGAACTGCTAACGCAGAACTAAGACACAATATTCAGCCGGAAGCCCTCCATCCAAGTAAACCACCCCGAACCCAGAACCCTAGACGTCCGTGAACCTCTTGACTTCCGTGAACCTCTAGACTTCCGTGAACCTCTTGAAGGTTCAGGGTTGAGGGGCTGGGGCTTAGGGTTTAGGGCTTACTGTAGGGCCTGAAAGTTCGGGTTTCGGTGAAGGCTGTTTCAGACCACCCCCGCCTCCGCGTCCTCCTGAGCCTTCTTGGTGGCAGACTCCTGCAAGGTGAAAAGGTACATAACCCATAACTCCCCATCTATGCTAAACTGCTTAAACCGCAAAGTCCTAGACTCCTGAAGCTTCGATGAACTTGGGCTGCCGAAGATGGGAGCGGCAGAGGCTTCAAAATCTCTAGGAAGTCCATGTCTTTCCCAGAAAATCCTACACAACCCTTGGCCCTACCCTAAACCAGGAAGCCCTGAAGCCCCAATGCCCCTAAAACCCTAAAGCTCCAAACCCTAGCCGGCCCCTAACCCCCCCCCCAAAACCCTGAACCTCCGAACCGCCGAAACCGAAAACTCCCCCAGAAGCCCAGGAAAAGGCAAGCCTCCCACTGCCTGCCTGCTCCTGGAGCTCTTTCGTCAGGGCCGCCCCACGCTCCTGGGGCTTAGGGTTTAGGATTTAGTGAGTTTAGTGCTTCAGGGTTTGGGGCTTAAGGATTCCTAGGGCTGAAGGGTTTAGGGGTTTAGGGCTTAAGGATTCCTACTGGGCCCTTTTGCTCTCTTGCGCTGCGCTGGAAGCATGCTAGTACTGGCTGAACCTGGGGCTTAAGAGCGAGGGACCGTTCGTGGGGTGGCGAGGGTTGAGGGTTTAGGATTCCGGCTTGGAGTGTTAGAGTCTTCATGGAGGGCGGCGCCAGGAAGGCTTTTGAGGTTTAGAGCTTCCTTCGGCGAGCACTGACTAATCTACTTACGAAAAACCCTCAATTCTAAGTGCAATTCTTACTGTTGTCCTTTTCATGGCAATTGAAGGTCAATGGCTCAGGTGGGGCGGGGTGTGGTCTCGCGAAATGTATCCGGAGAATGAAACCTGAGCACTAAACTGCCCCGGAATCGTAGCGTCAAACCAACTTAATGAAAGGGCCAAGACTACTTAAATCACAGTATATCAAAGAGGACTCTGAAAAAACCATACTTGACACTTTCCTACAACCTCTCGGCTACAAACCCCGAAAATCTATAAACCCGTCTTACACCAGCCAAATCCCCAAGAAAATGAGCGAGTATCTGCTTCTGCTCTGAAACCATCCAGAATGCCTCAAGGACAGCTGCCGACTTGGTCAGCTCGACCACCTCATCCGTGCAGGTCCACGTTGTGTGTGTGTGCATTTTTTGGACCTCTTCCCGTCTGCCTATCCAGTTAGAACGCCTTAAAGGCTGAGGTACTAAGGACGAGACTGAAGGACCAGCATCACATCACACCCTAAGCTTTCCTTATAGAAACATGGAGCTGACTAGTCCATCAGGTCGACATTGTAGTGCTTAAGGTTAAGAGTTTAGGCTTAGGGCATGGATACATGGATAGATGGATAGATGGAAGAATAGATCGGTAGACAAACAGATAGAGCTAGCTAGCTAGACAGATAAGTAGACAGATAGACAGATAGATAGCTAAATGGACGGATAGACAGATAGACGGATAGACAGATAGACAGACAGACAGACCAATGGACAGACAGAGAGACAGAGGGATGGATGGATGGACGGACGGACGGACGGATGGACGGAGGGATGGACGGACGGAGAAGGTGCTAATACAAGTCGAAATCTGCACAACTTCGGGTGTGGAGAACTTGCTTAAGCTTTATTTCCCACGGAGCTTGGACAAAGCGCTGTCGCTTTGCTAAGTGCACGGCCTGAGCTGTCTTGGACCTCGAGGAACCAGGATCAGCTTTACAGCGGCTTTAGCGCCACATTGTTCAAGCACACACGGGATATAAGACAGGACGCTGCTGCTGCTTCTTCTACTTCTGCTGCTGCTGCTGCTGCTGCTGCTGCTACTGCTGCTTCTGCTACTGCTACTGCTGCTGCTACTACTACCTACTACAGTACGACTACGACGACGACGACTACTTCGACGACTACTACCACCACTACTGCTGCTACTACTCCTCATACTAGTGTTACTACTGAACCCACTACTACTGAACCCACTACGACTATACCACTACCATCATACTGCCGCTAGGTACGACGACAACGACATCACCAGCGTGTCCTTTCTTAAATACGTCTGATAGCACTAGCCATGCCACAGCATGTGCTTGGCATCTCATGCCGGTAAATATAACCCTATCGATAGTGGGAAGCTCTCACGGACGATCTTCTGTATGCTGGACTAGTTACTATCAGTTGATACCGCATTGGCTCAGAAGAGGCCACGAAACAAAAGCTCCTCCACGGCGACTGCATATCCAACTCAACCCTTTGGCACCCGAGCCTTTCGTACTCACTCAGCTCCTGGCTGACACTTGGCTCCCGTTCAGGAACGAAAAGCAGTGCTTACAGAGGTGACACCAATGGTCATGGTTTTCTTGACAGAAACAACAAGTGTAGAATAAAAGCTATCTTCCTTCACTTCCTCACCGCCATCGGTATCGTCACTGCCGGCATCATCATCACCATCATCAGCACCACAAGCCTCACCATCACGATCACTCTCACTATCATTATCATCCTGGTCATCAGCCTCATCATGACCGTCATGCTCATGCTGATGCTCACCCTCCCTATGACGGTTCTTACAAATCGCCATTGACCATCCATCATCACCAGCCTTAATTACTCGAGACGAGTGCGTTGAAGGAAACGGCGACACCAGCATCAGTGAGAGTAGATAACAGTAGATCCTGCGTTCGGGAGTGCTGATCCAACAAAAATACCTAGAGGCCCCATAGACAGACGGTTTAGGGTTTAGGGATTAGAGATTGGGGTTTAGGGATGGATCTTGCAGGAAGATCTCCCATCTCACACCAGAACCGAGTGTAGGCAAGAACTGGCATGGACTTGCATGTTCCTGGCTATGAATAAATGAATAGAACGGATAGAAAGGCAGATAGATGGATGGATGGATGGATGCTGCCGATATGTTGCATTGATAATGGCTGTTATCATAGCAAATTTAGTGCCAGAACCAACATCCCATAGCACCTGGACTTAGGAATGCCAGCAACAGTGGTGGCAGTGGTGGCAGCAGCAGCAGCAGCAGCAGTACCAGCAGCAGCAGCAAAAGCAGGAGGAGGAGTAGTAGTATTGGTGCAACACCATTGCTATTTCTGTGATTCTGAGGATTCCAGGACTCCCAGATTCTGGGGAAGCTCCCTGAAATGCGATTTTGGCGATCAGAGATGTGCCCCCGGCAACTGGCTCTACAAGCCTTGTCACCGGTGAAGCGGTCTTGCGATATTTCGCTCAAAGAAGTCCTAACAGAGTAGCTAGACCATGAACTTCCGCGCAACCCACCCGAAAAGCACTAGCATGCCAACGCACCAAGCGAACAACAACGCATTGGCTGCATATGTGAACCTCAGGAGCTTCTTGAAGCTCGCCTTGATCTCATCTTTGTCATTGACATTAGGAAAAGGCTCGTCCGGGACGGGCACCTCGAGGAACTTGCACAAGGGCTCCCAGCCCTCCTTGACATCAAAGACCAGCAGCCTCTCCGGAGGCACCGTCTCCTTCACCTTCTCGATCCAAGCTTTGAAGGACTTGATGGAGCCCTCGCGATCCGTTCTTTCCACCCCGGGGAGCATCGTTGCCTTGTGAAAGGCGCGGGCCTGTGCCTGGAAGTCCCGGCCTTCCTGGAAGATCCGCACCGACCAGTTCTGCTCCGGGCACTCCGGGGACCAGATCGTGTCGATCACGCTGTCGTACCATTTCTCCGGATCCCGGACATTCAGGAGCACCTGAGCAGCAGAAGCTGAGCAAAGAGCAAAAACACGAACTGTGCCTCCACACAGCAATTGATTCTAAGTCTGGCACTTTCGCTTTGG